CCTGCCCCCACCACTCAGGAGAGGAGGGAGGGCCCTGCCCCCACCACTCAGGAGAGGAGGGAGGGCCCTGCCCCCACCCCCGCGGGGGAGGAGGGAGGGCCCTGCCCCCACCACTCAGGAGAGGAGGGAGGGCCCTGCCCCCACCACTCAGGAGAGGAGGGAGGGCACTGCCCCCACCCCCGCGGGGGAGGAGGGAGGGCACTGGGGTCCAGTGAGGCAACCTGGAGCCATTATCCCACAGACAACAATGTCGGCAGAGACGGCCCAGCCAGCCACGGCCTGCCAGCCTGAGAGCGGCTCCCAGTTGTCCCCAGGGAGCAATCCCACGTGACGTGACGCTGACTGCTGGCACCTGGTCCTGCCGCACCCACAGCCAGGGTGTGACTCCACAGGCTGCCACACGCCCCGACCTCAGCCGAGTGTGGGCTGTCGGCAGGCCAGGGGTGGAGCCTGGCCAGCACAGCTGCAGGAGGTCACAGGCGTCCAAGACAGCTGCAGGAGGTCACAGTCCTCCAGCACAGCTGCGGGACGGACACAGGCCTCCAGCACAGCTGCGGGACGGACACAGGCCTCCAGCACAGCTGCGGGATGGACACAGGCCTCCAGCACAGCTGCGGGACGGACACAGGCCTCCAGCACAGCTGCGGGATGGACACAGGCCTCCAGCACAGCTGCGGGACGGACACAGGCCTCCAGCACAGCTGCAGGAGGTCACAGGCGTCCAAGACAGCTGCAGGAGGTCACAAGCATCCAGCACAGCTGCGGGACGGACACAGGCCTCCAGCACAGCTGCGGGACGGACACAGGCCTCCAGCACAGCTGCAGGACGGACACAGGCCTCCAGCACAGCTGCAGGAGGTCACAGGCATCCAGCACAGCTGCGGGACAGACACAGGCCTCCAACACAGCTGCAGGACGGACACAGGCCTCCAGGACAGCTGCAGGACGGACACAGACCTCCAGCACAGCTGCAGGATGGACACAGACCTCCAGCACAGCTGCAGGAGGTCACAGGCATCCAGCACAGCTGCAGGAGGTCACAGGCCTCCACACCCCCTCCCCCACACCCCACGGTGCTCACACTCACACTCACACTGCACCCCTCCC